CACCGTGAAAGGTGTGTCCCTTGAACACATCGCTGCCGCGGACGACGGGGGCACCCACTGAGCATCCCACATCCTGGCAGTGCGCCGGCACAAATGGACCACGATGCAATGGGTGGTGCCACCGCCAGCGCTGACCGACATAATCGGGATGCAAGAGTACCAGAGCCCCAGAGGGCGGACCCGGGACCAGCGGCAGTCCCCCAGGGAGCCCGGCGCCAGGATGCAAGCCACAGGAGAACCCGCGGGACACGCAGTTCGTCCACGCTGCAGTCACAGACCAGTGTCCGGAGGCAGACAGGACGCGGCGAGCACGGGGGGTAGGCGATGAAGGCCCTTGGCAGCCAGAACGGGGATGCGAGGGTGCCTTGACCCCGCGCGGGAGGCACCGGGCCAGAGGGACAGCAGCCCCCGCGTGCGTCCAGGGCCGGTGGGCCCGGAGGCATCCCTCCCGCAGGCCGCGTTTAGCAGGGCCGCGACGGGCCTGCTGCCAGAGACCTTCCTCCACGCACCCGACCCCCACGAGTGCGATGCCGATACTTAGTGTGAGCCAGCAGAGTGTGTCTGCGAGGGCCCCGTCTATGATAGGACATCCAGGTATCTTGAAAGCAGCTGCACGCCGAGAACATCGGCGCATGAGGGGGGGCAGCAAACCGCCGCGAGACACACTCTCTCTCATGGTGATGGGGGGGGGCAGCCAACAACCGCAGAGATCACACTTTCATCCCCACTGGGGGTGCAGCCAACGGCCGCAGAGTTCACAGTTCCAAGCGCACTGAGTGTGCCAGCGTCGGAGACGCCTCCTGGGGGGGTACATGTGCCTCCACCTCAGTCACAGACCAGTGTCCGGTGGCTGTCAAGACGCAGCGAGCCCGGGGGGGAGGCGATGAAAGGCCCTTGGCAGCCAAAGCGGGGATGCGAGGGTGCCTTGAACCCCCGCGGGAAGCCCCGGGCCAGAGGGACAGCAGCCCCCGCGTGCGTCCAGGGACGGTGGGCCCGGAGGCATCCTTCCCGCAGGCCGCGTTTAGCAGGGCCGCGACGGGCCTGCTGCCAGAGACCTTCCTCCACGCACCCGACCCCCACGAGTGCGATGCCGATACTTAGTGTGAGCCAGCAGAGTGTGTCTGCGAGGGCCCCGTCTATGATAGGACATCCAAGTATCTTGATAGCAGCTGCACGCCGAGAACACCTACGCAGGAGGGGGGTGCAGCAAACCGCCGCGAGACACACTCTCTCTCATGGTGATGGGGGGCGCAGCCAACAGCCGCAGAGTTCACGCTTCCATTCGCACTGGGGGGGCGGCCAACAGCCGCAGAGTTCACACTTCCAAGCACAGTGAGTGTGCCAGCGTCGGAGGCGCCGCCAGGGGGGGGACATGTGCCTCCGCCTCTGCTCACAGCGCTGCAACTGTGACAGTGGGCGCCGAGACGACGAACACGATTTGATGGAAAGTGTGCCTGCGAGAACCCCATCTGTGATTGGAAGTGCCCCCGTCATTGCTCTCAGCGCAGCAATGATGACAGGGTGCGCCGAGAAGACGAGGCGAGCACCGGGGGGGGGGGGGCGAAGGAGGCATCCCTTTCGCAGGCCGTGTTTTGCAGGGCAGCAGCGGGCCTGTAGCCAGTGACCGTCCTCCTCGCACCTGGTCCCCGCGCGTGCGATGCCGCGAGAGGGGGCAGCAAAGGCTGCTGTGGGGAGACGGCCCACGACTGTTTTTTGCGCTTCTTGGGGGCCTGGTCCTTCGGGTGGCCCTTTGCCGCGGTGATCACTGCTCACTCCGCCGCTCCGTCCCGGGTGCAGCTGCCACGGCCGAGTCCAGTCGACGTCGAGGCCCAACGCGTCGCTGACGACCCGTACGTCGCACTTGTCGCACCCAGGAAGAGGTGGCAGGTTTGCGGGTCGTGCCGAAGCGGGTCGAGCGCGCCCTTGCTGCCGGGCACAGACTGCCGCTTGGCGAAATAGTGCCAGGTGCCAGTGAACATTGGCCCCAATGTGACTTGGAGTCGTCTTATCGCCTCGCCGGGTGTCTCCCCGGGGAGGTCCCACTGGATGTTGTTGATTTCTGTTTTGTACAGCTGCCGTCCCGTGTCGGGGTTCTTGGGCTCTGGCCACTGGCGCGGGTCAGGCCATACTAATAGGTGCTGCCGTGTATCCTGGCCGCAAGTCTCCAGCGTACCGGCCTCGTTGTCCTGGCCGGGGGGCTCGCGATCTGCACGCGACAGTTCCAGCTGCGCGCCTGGCGGGGTTCTGCGGGGAAAAGCAGGCCGCGTGGTTGGCCGCCAGGCGGGGGTCGGATCGTATCCGGCAGCCAGGGCGGACGCTGCCCTGTGGTGCGTGGGGATAAGCCCCTTTCGCTGGCGTTCGCCTTCGGGCCTGTGCCCGCCGTCGCTCCCAGGTGCGTCCCCTTCGGTCAGCGCAGGACTCTCTCCGGTCTCTGGGGCGCCGCTGGTTGTGCCAGGCGCTTGCACGCACGGCGACCCAGTTTCCTTTGCCGGAGCGCGAAATTCTTTGCCAGTCGTGCCCTGGACGTCGGGAGAGGGCGCCTGGGGTTCGCAGTCCATAAGAATGGGTTCACTGACAGGGGAGGGTGGGCGAATAGGCGCGAAGGGGTTTCTCCCGACGAGCCAGTGGATGGCTTCGTTGTCCTGCGTCTGGACGGTCGGTCCGTGGTCCCCCTGCTGGGTCTGTGGCGCTCCCAGAGGACTGCTGACGGTCTGAATGTTCTGAGGGGGGCTGGGGGTGGCACGGTGTGGCAGGCGAGCCCCTGCTGTCCCGGGATCTCGCTTAGCTGCCTGTTGCGGCTACCGTCAGCACTTTCGGGGGCCACCCCCTGCCCACCCGGTTCTAATTCAGAGACACGAGTGAAGGCTTGCGCCGCTTCCGCACCTTCCGAAGCTTCCGTCGCTTCGACCCCCCGATACTCCGCGGCCTCCGCCGTGACCTCCCTCTCCTTTTCTCTGCCCTGCTGCGTGAAACATACTAAGAAGACGAAGCAGAAGAGCAGGGGAGAAGAGTGAGGGGCAGGTGGTCGAGAGAGGCAAACCGGGGTGGATTGCCCAGAGGGGTACCGACCCTCTACTCGAATGCAACCGCGTGTAACCAGCGCTCCCCCTGAGCTGCTCGCCCCTGCCCCAGCCCCGAAACCTAGAGAAACCCTCACAACGGAGGCCAGAGCCGTGCAACGAGCCCCCCCCCCCCCCCGCCCACCCTCCGACGCCTCGAGACCTCCAGGAGCCTCGGACACCGGAAGCCAGGACCGAGCAGGAGGGGGAGGAGGAGGAGGAGGAGGAGGAGGAGGAGGAGGAGGAGGAGGAGGAGGAGGAGGAGGAGGAGGAGGAGGAGGAGGAGGAGGAGGGAGGAGGAGGAGGGAGGAGGAGCAGGAGGGCCCCTGGATCCGGAGAACCCAATGAGGGCCAGGACCTCTGAGGCCCCGCCCGCTCTGGCTCCCCGGGCCTACCGACTTCTCGCAAGCCCCGGGGGGGGGGGCAATCTGCGCCCGCCCCCGTCGCAGCCTGCGGGACAGGGCCGCGCCCTGTTCCGCCATGCCCGCCATGCCTCCCTCGAGGGGGGGGGCCCTTCAACCCTGACCCCCCCCAACTACAAAATCCAAACGGAAAGAGGGGGGGTAGCTTTGGAGCCTGGGCTGACCTTGGGCTCCGGAAGAGAAGGGAGGGGGGGGGGTAGCTTGGAAGACCCCCCCTTAGCTGGGGGGGCAAAAATCGGCGCGCCCCATCGGAGCATGCCGATCGCTGCCACGTCGTGCAGCGCATGAGTTTAGAGGTTCTTCGACATGCTCCACGGTCAGGCAAGGTCAAGACTGCTGAACCACAGCTTGAGAGCGCTTCAATCTCATGGCGCCGCCATCCTACCCCTCCCCTCTTTCTTTCCTCCTCATTTTTCTGCCTCGTCCTCCTCCTCCTCGTCCTCCTCCTCCTGCTCCTCTTCCTCCTCCTCCTCTTGCGGCTCCTTGGGGTCTCTTGAAAGTGTTTTGAGAACCTCTTGAGGGTCTCTTGGGGCCTGCCTTGAAGACTCGGAAGCGCATCCCAGGCGAAAAAGCAGGAAAGGCTATACGTACGGATTTTCCATCTGTTTTCGAAGGGGTTGAGTTCCTCGGGCTCCTCCCCGGGTGGCGTTTTGAGAATTTCTTGGGCGCTCTTGGGAGCATATTCGGCCGTTTTGTGAGCACATTGGGCCGTATTGGAGCAGTCCTGGGCCGTCTCCGGGGCCTACTGGACTGTTCTGGAGGTTCTTCGGGCCCCTTGGGGCCCCCGGCCCTGAACCCCGGGCAGATGTATACATCCTCTGATCCACCACTCGGGCCACAGGGTGGATAGCTACACAAGCATGCCGCCGAACCCCTGTGGGTCTTCAGGGATGTGAGATATTCCTTTTTCCCTCGTGCTCCCCTCCGCAAAACTTCGGTCTGGCATGTAGACAGGCCGACACCGGGTAAGGGTGCATGCATCCACTCACAGAGTCAAGCCTTAAAAAGAGCACCTGATGCCAGGCCCATACCAAAACGGCAAGAAGGGGGACCCTCGCAGCCCGCGCCCTCGCACGAGCCCCCGCCCCTCCTCCCTCCTCCACTTTCTCCTCCTCCTCCTCCTCCTCCTTCTCCTCCTCCCTCCTCCTCATCCTCCTCCTCCTTCTTCCTCCCTCCTCCTCCTCCTCCTCCTCCTCCTCCTCCTCCTCCTCCTTGCCTACCAGGGGTGACATAGATACCCCACACCCAAAAAGGCACGGGACGCCCGCAACCACACGAACGCTCGGATTGCCACTTTGCGTGCAAGCGCCTCCGCCCTATCTCAAATCCTATTTTGAAACTTCACAGCGCGCAAACGCCCCAATACCAAATTTGACGCAAGGGGGTCGGCGGATGTGGCGTAAGCCCGCAGATCGAGGAGCGTGCCCTGGGCGGGGGGGCGAAATCAGCTGCACGCAGCAGACTTCGTACCCCCCCTTTCCCTAACCCCCCCCCCTTTTGCCCGTCGTCCGGCCCGAACCTCGAGGTCCCGAGAGCAGCTCAGGAAGCCGTACTCGATGCCCCCCCTGACGCCCGACTCGTCCTCATGCCAGAAGCAGTCGGGCAGGACACCGCGCTGGGTGCCCCGGTACAGCTTATCGGCCTTTTCGAGCTTGCTCAACTTGATGAGCGCCGAGTTGATCGCGTGGATCGTGGTACAGTAGCGGTTCCCACGGCAGAGGTCGTTGAACTTCTTGACCATGTGCTCGCTCTGCCTCCCCGTCTTGACAGCGCCCCCTCGGTTCACGGCGTTGTATTTCTCGAACATAGGGCCGGTGTAGAGGCGGCCTCCGATCCACTCAACCAGCTCCAGCGGCTGCTCCCCCTTCTCTTTCAGCTTCGCGTTGATCCCATCGAACACGTCCTTGAAGTCGCTGATATCCTTCCACTGGCGGCGGTGCTGCGTATTGACCGTCTCCTCGGGCCACTTCCAACCGGAGCGCGCGTCTTCTTGCCCAAGGCGTGGGCTGGGTGGGGCTTCCTTACCGCTTCCTAGGGCACTTGAAGCAAGCATAGAACGCGCCCGCCGCGCTATTTTGGGATCCTCGCCATTCCCTCTCACGAAGTGCCATTCTATTTCTGGTGTGGTCGTCACCTTATAGTTCTCGGTCGTCCACTCGATATTGGAATCTTCTGCGTTGCAGTGCTCGCGCATCATCGCCCTCTCCACCTTGGGGTCGGGCGAGCCAATGAGGTCCTCCAGCCCTGCGAAGAACTCGCACTGGGTGCCGTACGACATAGAGTACGAGTCCGGATCGCTTGCGAACTTGTTGTTCATCTCGCCGCCTGTGGCGGCCTCCTGCTGAGTAAGCTCCGTCGCCATCCCGACGATCACGTCGCCGAGCTTCTCGAGCACGTTGCCGTCGCGCAACAGGCCCATGACGACCTCCTTGCCCGCGCCGGCCCGCTCGCGCTCCAGATGTCCGAGCGCATGGGCGAGCGCGAACTCCATGTCCTGCGAGCCAGTGGGCAGCGGGGCCACCAGCGCCTCGGCTAGCGGCGCGCAGGCTTTCTGCGAGAGCCACCTCAGTATGCTCCAGCGCTCGTGGTGCGCGGACCCGCCAGCGGGGCTGGCTGGGGGTGCGTTCCGCTGGCGCTCCCGCACCCGCTCGTCTGCCAGCGTGCGCGCCCGCTCCAGCACATCTGCCAGCCCAGCCGGCTGGCTCGCATCCTTCACCTCGGCCCCGCTGAACAGCCAGTCCACGAGCTCCAGGTACCGTACTCTCTGCCCGCGCGGCGTGCTAAATTCTTTGATCGCCGTTGCGGTCAGACTCTCGGCAGTGCCCGCAGAAGACTGATCCTGGTGGAGGCGGCTGGGGGGTCTTACCTGAATAAGCCCAAAGGCAATCGGCCAAGAGGTGGAATTGAGGCAAATTCGCTCAACATCGGTCTCTAGACCCCAGCTGGGGTCGAAGCTGACTAGTTTTTCGAGCCACGTCCAGTCGTGGCGAGCAAAGAGCCCCTTCTCTCCCCTGTTGTTGCTGGCCAGAGCTTGTGCTTGGGCCACCTCGGCCCCCCCAACCGACTCCAAGGATCCTGCAAGACGTCTAGGAACAGCCGGCGCACCGTGTCCACGGGCACAAAACCGTCGCCTGACCTGTCGTCTCTGGCCAAGATCTTCCGCAACGCCGCCTTCTCGTTCATGGCGGATGGCGTCGGCGCGCCCGCGGCGCCGGCCCAGGCATGTGAGCCAAAGAAAATTGAGCCAGAATGGCCACGGGGGACGCTGGGGCCAATCCCAGAGATCTTGGGGCCACCTTGGGGCCCACTGGTGCAATCTTGGATCCAGTTCAGGCGAAATAGACAGTTGGGGTCAGTTTTATCCACCTTGGCAGTGGGGCCACCTTGGTGCCAACTTGGGCCAACTTGCGACCAACTGGAACCAACATGGGTTAGCTTTGCACATGCCCCTGTTGTCCTCTTCCTGCCCCTCAGAGAAGGAGGGAGGGAGGACGAAGAGCCAGGAGTCAGGAGACAGAAAAAGGGCATCCACAACCCCAACAGCCATAAGGACAATGATGACGATTACTCCCATGCTAACTACGGAGATTTTCATGCGGGGCCCTGCCGTCGGAGTAATTCAGTGTTTTCTAGGGCCGACCCCCACCCCTTCCAGCAACCGTCCTCAGAAACCACTCCCCCCTTCTCCAGAGCAGATGCTGGGTATCTTTCCAGATGACGCTACAATGAGATCCGCCACCGTGCCCTGATGCACGGCTTGGAGTCCTCAGGTCCTTGGCCTCCTCTCTTTGTCTTCAACCTTCAGTCCTGCGGATTCTTTACAGGTCAGGACCCCAAATTCCAAGTCTCCTGGGGCTCCTGGCGTGCCCTCTGGGCTCACCCAAAGGGTGGCGCATGACTTGTTCGGGGCCAAGAGGAGCTTAAGACTGGCTAGGTGGGCCCGAAGAGGCCACCAGACGGCTCAAGGGTTCCTCGAATCGCCGCACGATCGGTCCAAGACGCTGCCCCAGAGGCGCCCAAGACGGCCCCAAGAGGCGCCCAAGACGGCCCCAAGAGGGGCCCAAGAGGGGGAAAGACGAACCGAATATCCGAGCCTTCCGCCCCATGAGGCACCCAGGAGACCCCAAGTGGCCCCCAAGAGGCTCCAAGAGGCGCCGAGCGGGGATAAGATCCTAGTTGGGGGAGAATATTAGAGCTCTACCGAATTGTTGAATTTTGACCACATATTTTTCAACCAACCCAAAGACTCCAAAACTTCGAGATTTTTCGAGCCAACTACCCCGCTGGCGCTGTGAAATGATAGCGCCGGCGGTAAACCGTCAACTTTGGTTACCGCCGGGGGGTTCGTCGAGTCTCCGCGCCATACATGTGAATGGCACGCGCGCGCGGCAGTTTCGCATTCAGCGCGCGCGAGAATGCGCGGTATCATGGACATGTGCTTGACAGCTCCGTAGCTTGCCCACAGCTCGAGTTGAGTTGAGACAACCACCCACGCAAGAAAGTGCACGACTCAACTTGAACAGTTTTGCAAATATGATCTGTCAGTCTGAAGAAGAAGGTCTCCCGCGCCACGTGTAGATGCGCATGGTCAGTTCCATCGAGCGGTGTGTTTGGCAGCTTCGTAGCTTACCCATAGCTCGAGTTAAGTTGAAACAACCACCCACGCAAGAAAGTAGTTGGCTCAAGTTGATCCGTGTTTTGAAAGATTATCTAACCTCTTAGACAATAACAAGCTATTTCGCGTCACGTGTAGATGCGCACGGCCATTTGCTATCGAACGGTGCGCTTGACAGCTTCGTAGCTTGCCCACAGTTCGAGCTAACTTGAAACAACCACCGCCACAAAAAATACACGACTGAAGTTGAAGAGTTGTCAATGATGATATGTCGATCTTGCTAATGAGAAGCTCTCTCGCGCCCGTTGTAGATACGCATTGCCCGTTTCCTATCAAATTGTGTGCTTGCCGACGCCGCAGTGCCCCCTCAGCTTCAGTCAAGGCTAGAAAAATTGTTCACGCAACAAAGTGCACGACTAAAGTTGAACAGTTTTCTTCTAGATGCTCTGTCAATTTAGATAATGAGAAGAGCTCTCGCGCCATGTGTAGATCTGCATGGTGCATTTGCAGCTATTGATACACCTGAACCCGATCGAGTCGTAAACTCAGCATGCACGAAAAGTTACAGGGTGCGAAAAGTTGTTCGGTGATAGTTCGAGTAGCCGACCGATCTCATCGGTCTTGATGGTTTACCAGGATGTTGTTGACAGTGTTGAAGTTATTAATCACATCGGATTTCTGTAGCTGCCCTAAATCTCGAGATAAAGCCGACAACCAGAAGATGCACCTCAACAGTTAGCAGCGTGCAAATAGTTGTTTGGTCACAGCTCGGGTAGCAGACCGATCTCAGGCGTTTCGATACATTACACTAGCGCTCCTGATCGTTTCTTGTCGAATGGTGCGCTTCCCAGCTCCGAAGCTCGCCTTCAGCTCAAGCTAAGTAGAGAAAACCAAAATCGCATGCCAAAATGAGCCTCGAGACCCCCACCCGCACGGGTTCGGTTTTATAATGACATCCACCTGATCGACTTGAGATCACGATGGCGGGCGGGAATCAGATCCTAAATGGGCAGAAAATATTGAAGGTTTCACGAATTGTTGAATTTCGAGAACATAATTCTCAACCGAGCGAAAGTCAACAAAATTTCCTTTGAGATTTCTCGAGCCAAGCAGCCCGCTAGCGCTGCGGCATTGCTCTTAAGTTCCCGCTGCTTCGCAGATGGGGAAGCTCCGCGAGTGATCACCCAGTTTCCGCCGCTTCGCCCATTGGGAAAGTCTACGAGTCATTACTCTTAAGCTTCTGCCGCTTCGCTAAATGGGGAAGCTCTACGAGTCGTTCGCTCCATCCTGCGCCCGAATTCCTCTTAGCTCACCGTGCCGAAGAGCTCTACAAGGCATCGGGGGCCGCCCACCCTCATCCCCTACCCGTTCCAGGTACTAACCCCGGAGCCGCCCGAACCCGGGGTCTTACCCCCGGGCCGTCCACCGTCCAGCTCCGCCCGAGCACCCGGGGTCCAAAATCCGGACCGTTCGATTCTGCCCGGGGGGGGGCTCGCACGAACCTTGGAATGGTTGCTTTGAGAGTTTGCAAGCTTGCATCAAACGGTTCGCAGGAGGCTTGAATGGATGTCCGTGGGGCCCGCAGGCTCTGGGAAGGAGCTGCCGAGGAGCGGCGGAGATGCTTGCGGAAAGGCTTCGGGGCACGCGCATTGGGAACGAGTAGGCAAACGCTTTTCGGGACACGCTGCGACCTCAAGCAAGCTGTTGCAAGGATGCCTGACCGGGGGCCTTGGAGAGGAGCTGGCGGGGCCCGGCCGGCCGGCTTCTTCTCCACGAATTCATTAAGTTCCCAGAAGGGGCATCTTGGAACAACCATGCGCACCCACACCAAGACCCAAACCCACACCCACACACACGCACGCACGCCATCACCCACGCTTCCTTCGCCCACGCCCAAATCCACACCCATACCTTGCGCTAGTTTTCCTGGATAGGTCCTGGTGGGAACTACAAGGGATGTTAGAGAAGAAGACGGCCGGCAGAGCTACGCCAGCTTCTTTCCGCAGCCCCCGGGCAGGCACCTTCGCAGCAGGCTGCTTGAATTCGCAGCGCGCCCCGAGAAGCGTTTTCCTACTGGCTCCCAAAACGCGAGCCTGAAGTTTCTAAGGGAAGTTTCTCCGCAGTCCTTGGCAGCTCCTGTCCAGACCCTCCGAGCCTCCCAGGCACCCCGTCAAGCGTCCCCCGAAACGTTCCCCGCAAACTGGGAATTGGCGGTAAACCGTCAACCTTGGTTACCGCCGGGGGATTCATCGAGTTTCCATGCCATGTATTTCATTGGCACGCGAGCATGGCAATCTCGCATTCAGCGCGCGCGAGAATGTGCAGCATTATGGACATGTGGTTGACAGCTCCTTAGCACGCCCACAGCTTGAGTTCAGTTGAGACAACCACCCACGCAAGAAAGTACACGACTCATGTTGAACAGTCGTTGAAATAATACTTGGCGATCTGAAGAAGCCCTCGCCACGTGTAGAGCGGAATCATTTCATGTCGAATGAGTTGTTTGACAGTTTCGTAGCTGTTTGCAGAGTCTAAACATTTGTTCGGTCGCAGCTCTGGTAGCAGACCGATGTCAGGCGTCTCGATACTTCAGACTAGCGCTCCCGATAATTTCCTGTCGAAAGGTGTGCTTTCGAGCTCCGTAGCTTGCCTACAGCTCGAAGTCAGTAGAGAAAACCAACATCGTCTCTCAAAATGTTGCAGAGGGCGAAAAGTGTGTGTCAGTCGCAGCTCTGGGAGCAGACCGATCTGCTGAGTCTCGATACTTTAGGCTAGCGCTCCAGATCATTTCCTGTCGATTGGTGTGCATTTCAGCACCGTAGCTCGCCGACAGCTCGAACTAAGTAGAAATCAGCATCGCCTCACACAGTTTTGCAGAGTGCGAACGGTTTGTTCAGTCGAAGCTTTGGTAGCAGACCGATCTCAGGCGTCTCTATATTGTAGACGAGCCCTCCTGCTAATTTTCTGTCGAATGGTGAACATATCAGTTCCGTAGCTAGCGCACAGCTCAAGTGAAGTAGAGAAAACCAACATCGTCTCCCAAAAATTCGCAGGGCGCGAATGGTTTTTCAATCGCAGCTCTGGTAGCAGACGGATTCTAGGCACCGCCATACTCAAGACTAGCGCGTTTGCTCAGTTATTGTCGAATGGTGTGCATGTCACCTCCGTAGCTAGCCTACAGCCCACGTTAAGTAGTGGCAAAGTGCGACTAGTTTGTCGGTCGCAGCTCTAGTAGCAGACTGATTTCAAGCATCTCGGTACTTGAAAATGGGGCTTTTGAGCATCCCCTTTCGAATTGTCTGCATCTCAGCTCCGTAACTCGCCTACAGTTGAAGTTAGCTAGAGAAAACGAACACCACCTGCCTATATGAGCCTCGAGACCTCCACCCGCCTCAGTGCCTTTTAATAGTAATATAATATCCACCCGATCGACCCAAGTTCAAGATGGCGGGCTGGAAAAAAATCCCAGTTCTTGTGAAAAAAATTAGAGCTCTAACGAACGCACAGAACTGGGAGCCGGCGGTAGACCGTCAACATTGGTTACCGCCGGGAACTCGTAGAGCTCCCT